ACACGCTGACCCAATAACGGTACAATTAGACCCGCACTCTCCTCCGTCGCGATCTCTCGCACAGATGCGCATGCATGAATGAAACAGAAACAACACCCGCATGCCGTTATTATTATTATAATAATGCTTGTTGTTGTTGTGAAATCTCCGCGACCCACATATTTGCGTTCGCTCGCACAGTGGGACCAAATCGACATCCAATTGGATTAGGAGCAGAGCTGCATTTTTCTGTTTTATTTTTGGTAGCCCATTTTATTCAGGTTCAATGAACCAGCCCACGGAATGCCGCTTAAGAGAGTGTGTGTGCGTTGCCCGTTTTGTGAAAGTTAAAAAAAAATTGTTGCTCGTATTGCTGTGGTTAAACCTCCTATCAATATTCGGTGGCAATGCTGTTTATGTTTCCGGCCGTAATTATATAAATGATTCGACATAATTAGCATGTATTATTAAACAGCGGCGAAATTACCTTGACATTGAGAGATTATTTGTGTGTGCATGTGAATGTTTTGCGAACAGAGCTCCATGTGCCATCTCGTTCGCTCTCGCTGCGAAGGCCATGTTGTAAATACAAGTGTCCAATTAAGTAATATTTTATAGGGCTACTGCTTTTATTGAAATAACCGAGTGCGAATGACCTTGCTAATAGGCACCTGCCTCGATAGCTGCGTATTATCGATAACGAGAAAGGTCGGAACCTCTATCTCAAGATCGGTGACCACCTGCCGGGTGTTCTAGTGCATCTCTGGTTTATATAGACTTCAAGTTCTTTAAATACTTACAAAAATGTGAAAGAAAAAAGGAAAAAAAGGCATGAAAGGAACATGCATATTTCCTTGATAGCTGGACAAATTAATTTCTCAACATTGAAGTCTCCATTTTACTGCTAACTGCATTAGATTTTGCATAAAGTCTTTTCTTTATATTTACCTATACTTTTATGTGTATGTCAAATCCAGTTGATTCGTAAAGCTGTAAAACCTATCTTACTGAAGTACATCTTCTATTTGTGTACCACATTTTCTTCGTACGATCCAAAAAAGAAAATATCCGTTTAACTTCTCTACATTCTCTACGTTATAAAAGATACAAAGATTTTAAGCTATATCGTGTATTTATAATATATGTTTCCTTAAAAAATATTAATCAGACCCCAATACATTCAATTTTATAAAATGATTTACTTCGGTAGAATTTGAATATTGCTTTCTTTAATATTCTATTCTAATTCTAGTATTGTTTTCTTTAATATTCTATTCTAATTCCAATATTGCTTTCTTTAATATTCTATTCTAATTATGATATTTCTTTAATATTCCATTCCAATTATAATATTGCAATTTTAATATTCTATGCTAATTATTATATTGCTTTCTTTAATATTCTATTTTAATTCTAATATAACTTTCTTTAATATTTGCAGTGCCAACAAAATTCCGTCTTCATTCAATGCGAAACTGGAGCTTGACTCCAGCAAAGACGACACCATTCACTCCACAAGCTTGAACAAGAAACTCGTCAAGATTAAAAAGTTCAAGTTGGACGATATGAAGGAGATGGTGGGCGGTTGTTGCGTTTGTTCAGACGAGCGGGGGTGGCCGGAGAACCCGCTCGTCTACTGTGACGGCCAGAACTGTACTGTGGCAGTGCATCAGGCGTGCTATGGCATTGTGACGGTTCCCACTGGACCCTGGTACTGTCGGAAGTGCGAGTCCCAGGAGCGAACCTCTCGGGTCCGATGCGAACTGTGTCCCTCGCGGGATGGCGCCCTTAAGAAGACAGATAATAGCGGGTGGGCTCACGTTGTTTGCGCCTTGTACATCCCAGAGGTGCGATTTGGGAATGTGACTACCATGGAGCCCATCATATTATCATTAATACCGCAGGAGCGGTACTCAAAGAGTGAGCTATAACTTAACTGTTTTATTTTGAAAAATATAAAATATATGTTAATATGTTAGATTCCCTAGATTCAGCTCATTGGCAATAGTAAATTACAATCCGTGAGAAATATTTTTAATATTTTCAGCTTGCTACATTTGCCAGGAGATTGGCAAACCAAATCGTGCCAATGTCGGCGCCTGTATGCAGTGCAACAAATCGAATTGCAAGCAGCAGTTCCACGTCACCTGCGCGCAAAGCCTTGGATTGCTCTGTGAGGAGGCTGGTAACTATCTGGATAATGTAAAGTACTGCGGCTACTGTCAGCACCATTACAGCAAACTGGTGCGTATGTGAGGGATAGCATTCGTGATTTTTCCGTTCAAATTCTTGATACTTTGCAGAAAAAGGGCGGCAACGTCAAAACCATACCTCCATATAAACCCATACAACATGACACCTCTTCCGATTCGTGTTCGTCGCCCGAGAAGGAGATCGATTCTACCATGAACTCCGCGACGACCTCGGCCGCAAGCATAAAGATTACTAGCAGCAGCGGCAGTGGTGGGGGCAGCAGCAGCGTTGTAAATGCAAGCTCCAGTGTTGCAATCTCTGGGGGAAGCGGCAGTGGGAGTGGCGTCTCATCTTCCTCAAAGCAGCGCAAGAGCAATGCATCCAGTAAATCATCTAGCAGCAGCAGCAGCAGCTCATCATCCTCAACAGGAGTGGCTCCCAATCCCTCCTCGAGTTCTGCGCATTCGGGAAGTGCTAGCAATATGACAGGCGGAGGAACTTTACTACCAGGCAGTAGTAACATTGGCAATATCAGCAATAATTTAAACAATAATCTGCCGGGAGGCAGTACGTCCACCAGCAGTGCTGGAAACGTATCTAGTGGAAGTGGGGGAAATCTGTCAGCTTCAAGCGGTGGTGCTACGCAATCGACGAGCAGTCAATCGTCAACAGCACCAGGGACCACCAAATCTTCGGCCAGCAGTTCAAGCAGTAGTAGCAACAGCTACAAAGAGAAACATAGCAAAAGCTTAAGCAAATCCACATCCAGCAAGGACAAGGATGGAAAAGATAGCGCAAGCAATTCAGCAAATAACAATTTCACGAATTCATCTGCATCATCAACATCTTCCAACTCATCGTCGACGCGAGAGAAATCCTCCTCAAAGCTTTCGAAGAGCAAAGACTCCAATCAACTACCGAATGCCACCAGCAGCACAAGCACAACCAGCAGTGTCAACACTCAGCCCAGTTCCTCGACTGCAACTGCTACGAGTGGATTGGGCGGGACTGGGACTCATGTCAGCAGTTCGGCTGCCAGTGGAATCAACACTGCTCCTTCTACAACCCATGAGCATTCGAATCATGCCCACAACCTTAGCACAAATGGAGCAGGATCCGGAAGCGCAGCCGGAAAGTTGCAATCGGCCAGTAATCTAAGCACCAGTAGTTCTGGTTTTGGATCGGATCTGCGATCGGTCAGCACATCCTCAAGCTCCACTTTGAACGACTCCACCGGATTCGGTAGTAATTTAAATTCAGAAAGAGAGAATTTGTCAGGCGCTGGATCGTCGGCAAGTAACATGCCCGGAACAATAGCTCCTGGTACGGGTGTCGTATCTTCGAGTGCGGCCACTAATCTAAGCACCAATAAGGGAGGCTCTTCGTTATCGGCGGCGAATAGTCTTACATCTACGAGCACTTCCTCGGGCAGCTCCTCTAACTCGACACCGAAAAAACGAAAAGCGGATTCTGCTAAGTCTAGTAGCAGTATTTCCACCTCCGCCTCCGCTCTGGAAGATAACAATAGGTGGGGAACGAGAAACGCAAAGAAAAGGTCTTTTACAATATTACATTTTTCAAAATTTGGTAGTTTAATAGTTTACGCCTGATTTCAAAGAAACAAATGGGACTGAAGTTGCACACATATAATTTGGTAAATTGTTTGTTTATCGAATAGCCCGTGCAAAGATCGCATATATAAATTTTTTTATTTTTAAATAAATTGTAAAAATTAGAACATAAAGTATTTAAGCAGTTCCCAAAGTTACTGAGAAATCAGACCAATTAAATATGTTTTTGTAATTTCATTTGAACAAAAGGCTACTTTTGGACTCCGTTTCGTTTATTGTAGAATGTACTAATAAAATAACCCCGTATGAGACCTTTTCCTATTAAAACAATGTATAGAAAAAATAACAATAATTATATTTTTCATTTGTATCTAGCTTAATATCCCGATATGATATCAAAGATGTTCATGTTGCACTGACGCCTCTAACAGATTTTGAGAAGGAAATCGAGAAGAGCTCCAAGAGGGTAAGTTACATTTTTCTTTGTTTATCTTTTAGAATACTATTAATAAATCGATAAACAATTAAAGTACCTTTCCAAAATATTGAGTTTTTATGAGCTTTTTACTTTTTGAGGAACTTGTTTCGGATCTCTTGAGCTATTTTCCGAAAGCTTCTCTTAAAGTGTTCTCTCTTTTAGATACAATGTTGCTATTTTAATAATGGCTCCCATTATCTTTTACACTTGTATACATCTTGTCATATAGTTTTTCTCTGATCAAACCTAAAGAGTAGGACAGAGTACTGCTATATTCGTCTCATTCGTTAAAAGTTTTGAACGCAGGCGCCTTGCCAAATTTTGTATCATACTTATAAGTGGAAATGCAATTGCAAATGCATTTTAAAAATGTTTTGAGAAATTCTGCTGAAGGTGCGCCTTAATTATACAAAAGGTGTTACCCACCCGTTCTTGTATTGAAGAAATTCCGTGTTTTTCAATGCTACCTCTTGGACTGTGTGATATTCGATTGTTCCATTTTTAAAATGGTGTGTTTTGAACGAAATATTATGATTAATCAAATATAAAAAGAGTTTGTTTGCATTAAAGTTATGTAGGATCTAAGAATTACAGTGTTAGGTTTTTGAAAATCATCTGTAAGAACCAATTAGAACCAATATCCAATTTTTTCCCTCAGTAATGGAATAAGAGGTATTTTCTGGCCGACTTAGGCTTCGCCATGTCTGGTTATATTTTTCCGATCTGATTGATGCTCAACGATGTACCCATGCCCCATTAATTTCCTTTTGAACCAAAAATGCATGGCAAAATATTATCGAATTTTAATTAAAAGCAAATGCGCATGTTAATTTATTGATGTTGAAGTGCCAATGTTCCCAAAGACAGACAGGCAGCGACTTTGAACAAGGCAGTTTAACCATGTTGTTGGTCCAATAAAACATCAACATCATCTTTTTCGCCTTGTCATGAGCACCTTCACCTGGAATATTCTGCTAGAAAATATACAATTATATATACAATTTATTCATGCACTTTTCATGTATACTAGCATATACATACGTGAGAGCAGATATTTTGTGATTTGTTGGGTTTGTTGTTCGGGTCGCTAATGTATTTATTGTTGGGGCTACAATATAGTCATCCCTATCGTATTCTCTGGCGACATCGTTGCCTTCGTGCCGTGTGCAGACAAAGACTCAAAGCGCTTGACAAATTTTTCAACGCGATCAGTCGAAAATCGTTGTTAATCGAAGCTAAACTAAAATTAAGGATATTTCTCTTGCGAACCTTTTTATTACGAACGAAAAGTAAATATCAGTTTTTTGTCAATGGAAAACTAAAATCATCAACCACGCATAACCCAGTATCTCAATAATAAGTGTTGTGTTTGCCTAAAAAATATCGGTTCAAGCTGCTACAAAACGCAAAGCGAGGAAAATATAGTTTTGTCAAGCGATCGTTTAATTTTAGAACTTATGTGTAATTTGGACCATAATATGACCCACAAATGAGGGGAATGTATGGCTCCACAGAGGAAGCATTTTTCCCACACACTATTATTTATAGATTCCGTTTTTTGTGTGTGGAAAAACTTTTCCGCAACTGTCTCACTCAATAAAATGAGTACTATCTGCGAGGATTTTTTTTAATCGAGTTATATTCAAGTACAAATCGAAGCCTGATCGTTTCAGCAGATCATATCTTACATCACTATATTTAGTCCTCTCCAAAATGTCAATACCATTTGCGCGCTATACTGAAAAATAAAAAAAACCAGTTCTTTCGTTGCTTGCAATAAAGCTAAAATGTTTAGCTTAAATTATTATATTTAGTCGGGAATATAAACAAATTCCCAGATGCCTGATTCCCAATGACACTGCAACTTTACGATCTTCTATGATAAGCTTCCCCTGGGTTAAATGTGCGTACAATTTATATAAATGTTAGCGAACATAAAAAACAAGATACGGACATGGAATAAAAAACTTTTTCAAAGAATCGAAAAAGTTTAAAAACCGCAGACTCAACGAATACCAATATGTTTCCATCCCACTCTCTGGCATTATTTGATGAAAACTGAAATAAAACGAAGGAAAACTGCTCCGTGTTGCCGCATCTTAAGTTTCTCAACTCGGTGCTGAGTAGGAAAACTCAGTGGCAGCCGCGAAAAGTCGACCGCGTTGCCGTGCCGTGTGCACTCACAATTATATAGACTAGTTTGCTTTGAGCAATCTTCCAGTTCAGTACTCGGCGCTTCCGTGTGTGGTTTTAGTGCGATGTAGGTTCCGTTCTATCTTGGCATATAGGTGCAGCTATATACCCTCACCCCCAGCGGGTGGATATCGTCAGCTCTTAACCGATATTGCACGCAGCCACCATTGCAAAACACCTGACTAATCCATCGCAACCGCTAGATAACCAGCTTACCGGCCAGGGACGATCCTCTGTCGGCGTTGCTTTAGCTGTGACTCAGTTTTAGAACACCCAGATATGTATATATCTGCCATAGTCATTTTTTGTGTGTGCTTTCCCAAATCTATCTACCTGTCTGCGTTATTTTTATACAAAATTTTCTGTATAGATACACATTTATTGCTCATGTTTTCCTCTGTTTTCTGTGATTCGAAAAATTCCTCCTTTATTTTTTGTTGTCATGAGAAAGATGTTATTTTCTGATCATTAGCATAGGAATCTTCAATATGAATTACGTATACATACGTCCGGTTGGGTAATTTTCTGGCACGGGCGATGACGTCTCGACTGACAGATAAGAATCTTGATAGATGATCTACATAAAGCAAAGTGAGGAGAAAATCTCGACTGCCAAGTTGAATTTTTAATAGTTCACTGCAAACTTAAGATTAATCAAGCGTCTTAACGGTTAACGGTACTTGTTAACAAGTACTAGCTACTATACGAGTTCTGTCCCTACAATTTGAACTACACTAGAACACTAGCAGCTTGAATAACTAGATGGGCTTAGAATAATTTGCATACCACTTCACATTCAAAAATGGCAGATGCTTCCCTCATCGCTTTCATCACCACCGAAGCTTCCACTTTCCTGCATTTTCCAGCAGGACATACACCACGATCCCATCGACTCTATTCGTTCTTGTTTTGCAATTTCAGATAATAAACTTAATAAGTATAGTAATTGTACTCGCGTAGATCATTTCGATAGAGTTAAAAACCGAAACACAGACAGAATGCCTTCCTTCCAACCGATCGAGGCCCCCAAGTGTCCGCGCTGCGGCAAGAGTGTCTATGCTGCCGAAGAGCGTCTGGCTGGCGGCTATGTATTCCACAAGAACTGCTTCAAATGCGGAATGTGCAACAAATCCCTGGACTCCACCAACTGCACAGAGCACGAGCGGGAGCTCTACTGCAAGACGTGCCACGGTCGCAAGTTCGGACCGAAAGGTTACGGTTTCGGCACCGGAGCGGGCACCCTCTCCATGGACAACGGGTCACAGTTCCTGCGCGAGAATGGCGATGTGCCGTCTGTAAGGAATGGAGCCCGCCTGGAACCCAGGGCCATTGCTCGGGCCCCCGAAGGTGAGGGCTGCCCTCGTTGCGGTGGCTATGTGTACGCCGCCGAACAGATGCTGGCCCGCGGACGCAGCTGGCACAAGGAGTGCTTCAAGTGCGGAACCTGCAAGAAGGGTCTGGACTCGATCCTGTGCTGTGAGGCTCCGGACAAGAACATCTACTGCAAGGGCTGCTATGCCAAGAAGTTTGGACCCAAGGGCTATGGTTATGGCCAGGGAGGTGGTGCTCTCCAATCCGACTGCTATGCTCACGACGACGGAGCACCCCAAATCCGTGCCGCCATTGATGTGGACAAGATCCAGGCCCGGCCGGGTGAGGGTTGCCCGCGTTGCGGTGGCGTAGTCTACGCAGCGGAGCAGAAGCTTTCCAAGGGCCGGGAGTGGCACAAGAAGTGCTTCAACTGCAAGGACTGCCATAAGACTCTGGACTCGATCAATGCCAGCGATGGTCCCGATCGGGATGTGTACTGTCGCACCTGCTACGGCAAGAAGTGGGGACCCCATGGCTATGGATTTGCTTGCGGCTCTGGTTTCCTGCAGACCGATGGCTTGACCGAAGATCAGATCAGCGCCAACAGGCCCTTCTATAACCCGGACACCACGTCGATTAAGGCCCGTGACGGCGAGGGCTGCCCCCGGTGCGGAGGAGCCGTGTTTGCCGCCGAGCAACAGCTTTCTAAGGGCAAGGTGTGGCACAAGAAGTGCTACAACTGCGCGGACTGCCACCGGCCCTTGGATTCGGTTCTGGCTTGCGATGGACCCGATGGCGACATCCACTGCCGTGCCTGCTACGGCAAGCTCTTCGGACCTAAGGGCTTTGGCTACGGCCACGCCCCCACTCTGGTGTCCACCAGTGGCGAGAGCACCATTCAGTTCCCAGATGGTCGTCCTCTGGCCGGACCCAAGACCTCGGGTGGCTGCCCGCGATGCGGCTTCGCCGTTTTCGCCGCCGAGCAGATGATCAGCAAGACCAGGATCTGGCACAAGAGGTGCTTCTACTGCTCGGACTGCCGCAAATCACTGGACTCGACGAACTTGAACGATGGACCCGACGGCGACATCTACTGCCGAGCTTGCTACGGACGCAATTTTGGACCCAAGGGAGTGGGCTACGGTATGGGCGCAGGCGCTTTGACAACCTTCTAAACGAGTTTATGTAGATCCAATCGAATCCCACATCCATGTCTGTGAACCGTTCCGATACTTCTGTCTAATGACTTATCTGTTTTAACTAACTATCCCTGAAATTAGCTAACTTAGTCTTCGTTTTGCTTCCAACGATTTTTGATCAACGATGCACTGAATGCAATTCAATTTTCTTTAGGTTATGTGAGATTAAGTTTAATATGAAAACAAGAAAAAAGAATAAACGCAAAAAAATCTTGAAAACATAAAACTTACGACTCAAAGCGAAACTAACTTTCGAACACAGACTAACGAACTAAACGACACTGACCACATCGAGAACAGCCCAATTTTCTGCAGGTACTATAACCGCACTAACGAAGGAAGCAACTACTGCGAGCCAAAGTCGTTACTACTTTTTGTATCTTAAACTATTTTCGAAGACCAGCCAAGTATGTCTTATGCTCCAAACCGAAATATCCAAAAGCATACTTTGTGCAAATTGACAAATTTTATACATATACTCTTACGACGAACAATGATGAAAGATATGATGTTGTATATTTAGCTGATTTAGTTCTTACGATATACTTATGAAATCTGATTATTTATAATGATGTTTTAATGATTTCTCACCCATCTAATCTATTGCATTCTGATTGGGATGCGAGCCATGGCAGATATAAAATATTCATATATATCAGCGTACATGTTCTGCATACACACACATAACATCCAATAATATATGCCCCAGTGGGTTCCATGAAAACAAAATGATTTCGAAATGGTTTTCGTAGTTTTAATTGATTTAATTGGGTGCGCATACCTGAGATTTCTGCATTTAAATGGTTGAGTTGCCACTCTGATTGGAATGACCGGTGGGTGGTTGGGTGTTTAGTTGAGTTCAATTCTGTTTGTTTCGGGATATTCGGTTCGGATTGAGCCAGCTCATCTGGTCTATATATAGCTCGTTCGGCCGACAAACATCGTGAAAAATAATTGCTCAACATACGCACAAAAAGTTCCCTACATATACGTACAGGAATAAATCCTTGTTTGTGTGTGTGGGCCTCTCGAGAAAAACAGCGAAATGTTCCATAACCGTACTGAAATGATTTTCTAAATATAAATATGATGCCAATATCGAAAGCTTTCCACATCACTCAAAACTCTCACTCAAGAGAACAACTTAAGAGATGTTCGCATATACTTTTGAGAAATCCTTAGTTATATTATAATATTTATAACACGTGCCTGCTGAGAATGTTGTGTAATAAGTGAGTTACTCAAGAGATGGCTCACCCACCTAGAGCAAAGTTTTTATTGCTAATGCACTTTTAGGACCACCCCACCCGAAATAACCTCTTGGGAACTAAATTTTAATGAATTTTAATGAACGCCCACTTGCGGGCATTATTCACATTTCTATTAATTCTTCGACATCCTAAGCAGACAACTATAGGTATGTTATGATATAGTATAGTCTTATGCTCCGTGACGTTGACCACGAAAATTCGTTGCCATGGGGTTGGCCAAACTAAATAAATTATTTTTTGTTTTAATATACTTTTTTTTTGACATAAATATTAAATAAATCGCCTTCAGCCAGGTGTGTTTACGTTAGTTTTGGTATCGCATTGGCGAGAATATTTATAGACCTTCCGAGTCAGCATCTATTTTCGAGAGATTCGGTTTTGAAATTGTTTCGCATATGACACACGGCACTTCAAAAACAACCGAATTGACGAGCCATAACAGTGAGAAAATTTTTTGCTGAATGCGCCGATGATCTCTAAATATACTTGGATATGTATTCTATTCGATATGGCTTTTCTAGTATGTTATTAATGTTTAATTTCTGGCTTTCAATGGCGCGAATAGATTTATGCCTTGTTGAAGTCCGCGACTATTTGTATACCGGATCGAACATGATAATGGCTGAGATAGAGAACATGTGGTTGTGCTGATTTTCGGTTTGCGGAAGACGAGTGCAAGGTTTTCCAGTGGGGTTTGTTTACCCACCGACCGCTTTGAAATGTTACAGAAAAGGCGATTGATTGATTAGATCAGGAAATGACACATTCGATTGCTCCGGTAATGACACAATGTGCCATCAAATGTACATGATATCAATTGCCTTACGTGACTAGCGTGCATTTAATGGCCAACTTATTGATTTCACATTACAAAGAAAAATGTCCCACTGTTTGGCGGGGGTTAGAATGGAACCGCATCGAAACGGAACCGTTTGGCCACAGACTGACAGTTTTGAGCGGCTCACTGCCGCGTTCATTTGGACCACCAATTGTGAGGACTAAATTGCAGCTACCGCATGGAACTGTGGGGGGTGGCCTGAGAATCAAAAATCAGGAAGCGGAAGGACCTCAAGCGGGTTTTGTGCAATTTTTTCGCGGTGGTTCGGGTGCCCTGTCTGTCGATAGAGATAGTGGTGCACAGTTTAAAAGCGCACCCGCTGACGGGGGGTGATAATTTATAATTTCTATTCCTCTTGACTGTGTCGATTATGAGCGGTTGTCAAATGTCAGGGAAAAAGAACTGGGAAATTCATGTGCTGACTACTCGGTGTACTTACAATAAAACTAATTTTTATGACGCCCTCACTCGGCTGAGGGTTTGTTTTATGATTTTGTCTCCGAAAGTGAGTCGCTTGGTGTGCATTTCACTTAGGCAGTTCCTCTTAAATGGCCATGAATTTAGTTCCCTTCCTTGAAAAGTCGGGTCACCCGAGCAACAACACCATATTTGGGTGTGGGTGTGTCGTTCAGTTTTTATCGAATCTCCGGGTCGCGTGTTGCCTGAATTTGACAAATTCACAGGAGTGACACGTGTCCTTTTATTATTCCTTTTTGGACTTTTTGTGAATGCCTTTAGATTTATGTTGTGGTACAGTTACCGTTCTGTTCATGCTAATATACAAATTGTGCTAAATAATGTGTATAGTTTGGTCAAGAGAAGGACTTGGCTTTTCTAAATTTTATAATAATGGTTAGGATAGCGAATTGAACATATTTGACATGAATAAGCCAACCTATTATTATTTTTTTACTGGAATGCATCAATAATAATCAACCTCTTTCATATCCGATAAATATGTGCTAGTTTTCACCCCCAAAGTAAAACTCTCACGATCTCGCATCTCTGGCTGAATAAAACCGCCGAACTGACACTTGTGTAAATATTTGAGTGTGACATTTTTGTTTTAATTTGATTTTCGGAACGCCTGAGCTTACCCTCCTGCCGTTTGATGATCAATAGTGCGTCCTTAATGGGTTTGCGCAGTGGCGTGTGCAAAGTTAAAAACGTTGCCTGGAGAAATATTTGCACAATTCATTTGATTCCTTGAGTGCTGCACTCACTGCTGTTTGTTGGAAAACCCTCTTTTTAAGATTTGTTTGTTGGGTTGAATGACCAGCTCTGTCGAGACTTAAAAGCATCACCTGTCTGAGTCCGGGGATTGCACTAATTAATGCATGTTTAGGTGCTTTATGGTCGAGAGTCTGTTAATTATGAACCAACAATTTCTTGCCTCTATGACAAAGAGATTCTGACAACAGATAGCTTACAACAGCAATGGAAACTTGTCCAAGTATCCTATCTTGTTAAAGAAGAAGTCTGATATTCTTCAAAAAACTGAACAGTAATGCAGGCAATTCAAGTTGTAATATATTGCAAAGAATGCTTTATTCTCAAACAATGATTTTGTTCAGTAAGTATGTTCGTGATACAGAGTTTTGCCTGTAGTAAAATTAATTTTCAAGCGGCAACGAAGACGGCGCCATTGTTCCTTTGCCACCTTTCTGGTGATTCGATTACGGTCGCGATGTTGCAACGGCAACATTTGTGCCCCAACACCGCCCAACCCAAAAACCCTAAGACTCCCATTTGGCTTTTGTTGGGTTTGTTTGTTTTGTAAAACAGGCACGTTCACCTGACTCCGCACATGCCCCTATACCGCTGCTCCATCGCCAGGTAAATGCCACTTAACGTTCATTTTTGCCTTTCTGCACCATGATTTTTTGGGCTTTTATTTGCATCGCAAATTATGCTCGCTTTTTTTCTTCTGCTTACCACTCCAGCTGCAAACAATATGCTGCTTCTTCTTCTTGCACTTCTTTTATTTATTGCCAATCGCAAATGTCTGCGGTGGCGGTTCCTGCTCTCCCTCTCTTTCTCGTTCTCCTCTCCTGTAAACATTGCCTTACAATTCAATTATTTTTCATTTTCCTGTTTTGTCTTCTTAAATCGCTGTCTGGCAACTACAACAACAAATACAGCTCCAGCAACAGCAGGGAGAGTAGAATTAACCTGCATGCAGCAATTGCCACCCACCCCCACCCTCATCATTCTATCTCGCTCGCTTAGTGATGGGCATTGCATAAAGCACACACAACGAAATATCTACATCTACGTTTGTTTTTATGTTGCAACGGTCTCTCGCATTGCTCTCTCTCTCTCTCTCTTTCTCTCAAGAAGTTGCTCTCCGAAACTGTTCTTAGGCTGGCTGGGAACAGTTTTGATATATGAAAGGTCCAAGTTATAGCAATAAACAATACAAAATCTCAATAAGTTTTGGTGTTAATAATAATTTTATTCTATTTACACAATATTTATGAATATAATATGCAAATAATTAATTTAATACCTTCAGTGTTATCGAAGCACATCTGTTGGTTGACCGATCTAATATGATCTTACAAGCAATACACTTCTTAGCCCATAAACAACGAGGCACCATAATTACATACATATTTAGTCGTTACTCTATAGCCACATTATTATCCCTTTTTAATGGGTCTCATAAAATAAAATAAGTATTACTACAGCGAATAACAGGTATATCTGGGCACGAGAATTCCAGTTAGAAATAGAAGTCTCTACTAACTTGGTCAGTCTCCTTTTAATTTATTGTTCTTTGTCACATTTCTGTTTTGCTAAGCTTTTCTTTAGCCTTCACTCTTCCTGGTCATTACTGTGTTGTTGCTGCTGCTGCGCTCTTTTTATTACATCAACAGTATTACGACATGCAGTTCATGTTGTTCGGCTGCATTTGAATCTGAATCTTTGTTGCTCAAAGTGAGAGACTGAGAGAGAGAGAGAGAGAGAGAGAGAACTGTGCGTATGAGAAAGATTCACTTTTACACATCAAAAAAAGGGATGAGAGTTATTTTAAATGTAGTATTAAAATAATCTTAATCTAAAATATTTGCCATATTAGGCAATTAATGGATATCATTTCATGATATTTTATAAATTTAAATGCAAACTCAAAAATGTTTGGCATTGCATTTTTTTCTGTGCACCTGAGTTATACGGCTGCACAGTACATTTTCGACGTCACTCCTCGTGATGCATGTTTTGTGCCAGCCTTAACACTCAATGGTGAATTTATGAATTTGAATAAATTTGCACCTTGCTAATTGTTCTGAAGTACCTTGATCCCACTCCCAAATGCATACTGGGTAACGTTTTTCCAGTTAACTTAGGTGCCTCCGTTTGCTACTCAACTCCTCCATGTATGTTTGAACCTACGAATGTATGTTTATTTTTATGCTGCCGCCGTGTGTTCTTCTGTTTTTTTACCGTCTGCACACCGGTGCGTGCGTGTGAGTGTGCGTCTGGCCTACGTGCAGACATGCACTCACACTGGCGCAGGAGCAACAACAATACATACAGACGTCTCAATAATCCCCCACGGAAAACCGGCTGCCAGCCAAACCAACAACAACAATGCAGCGCGCTCTCTGAGAGCTCTTCTACTCTCTGCGCTGTTCCCTCCCCCGGTCGCTCTTGTGCTGTATAGCTTCTAAGCGCTTGGATGGAAACTGGCCAGTTTATTCGAATTTCGAACTCCGTGCGGCCATGCAGCAACTATAGCTCCGTAGCTTACTCTTTGGCCATGCAGCTCCGCCGACGCTGCAGCCTCCGTGCATGTGAACCAGAAAAACAGTGGATAATTTGTTGATTTTCGGTTAAGCGAGCATGAGCGTGTGTGTGTGTGTGTGACACCTCCAATTAAGTTTAGTTCTGTATGTGTTTTATGTGAAAAATATTCACGTGGCCGCTGCTGGGTCTCACATGTTTTTCCAACAAGAAATAATGCCAAGTTTCCATTTAAAAGAAATTAAGTTTTGTTGAGAAAAAAAGTTTAAACGTCGACTGTGCTGTGTGTGCCCGAGTGAGAGAGAAGGCAATACGAAACAAGAAGTGACAGAGAGCGAGAGCCAGCCCAGTCGCCGCCACATAAAAAGTTATTCACCCCAACAACAACAAGAAAAGCAATAGCAATAGCAACAACAAAAACGGGAGAGAGCGGCGGAGGTGGTTCTCACGTATGCGCTGTGATTTTGTGATTGTGTTTGCGAGTGTTTGTGTGCGTGAGTGTATACAAAATACAGGCAGCATACAAAATAATAATATTGAAAGCGATACAACAACAAAGGCCGTCCCATCGAAGAAGAAACGGCCAAAAAGACTGAAGACGGAAGAACTGGAGAGCCTGTCCAGTTAATTACAGAGCACAAAGTAGAATCGAACAGCAACAGAGAAAGAGAGAGGGAGACAGATAGGGGTCAACCTGGCTCTCTCGCAAAGAAGACGGGGGCGAGGAGCGGCCAAAATGATGATGATGGACACCATGGACACCTCGCAGTCGCAGCCGATGGACGTGGCTCCGGCCGTTGCAGTGGCAGCCACATCGGGCTCTCTGGTGGACTTTACCGCTGCCATGGTGAGCATGGCGGCCACCGCTGAGGCTGAGTCCGCCGAGAGCAACAACAACCACATCGACATGGCCGAGTACAAGGAGCACCGCAAGAACAAAAAGAAGAAACGAGAGAAGAGGGAGCGCGAGGGCAAGGAGCACCGGCATCACAAACACCGCGATCGGGAGCATCGGGAGCATAGACGACATCGGGACCGGGAGCGGGACAAGGAGCGGGATCGGGAGGGACATCACCACCATCCAACGCACCACCACCCCAACAACAGCCAGCACTCGACCTCCGCCTCGTCGTCTCCTTCGTCCGCCTCCACCACGCCCTCTGCGACCATCGAATACGTGGGCGGCTCGGCCTCTGCCTCGCCCTCTTATCTGGGCGGTGGAGTGACGGGAACGGGTGGAGCGGTTGGAGCCACCACCACATATCCGCACAACTTAAAAATACGCTTCCTGCTTTCCGGGGTAAGAATTTGCCTTTGCCTTTGCCTCGGTCCACAAGACACTTTCCCATATCCCTTGGCAGCGGAAAACACGGCGCCCAGCATTTCCGTGCATCCCAGCATCTGTCCCTGCCAATCCCTCGAATCTATTTTCGGAACTCCATGAAAGCTGTCTGGTCTGTCAACTAGGAAATGGTTGCAAACAGAAGAAGATCTAAAAGAGAAGTTCTAAACGTTTGTCCTATTTCCATTTTAACGAGTCTTCTCGCATTCAATGGAAACAATGGTGATCCGATCGTTATTTATTTTAATATGTTGCTGTGGCCGATGCCGTTTATTCAAAGTATCCATGATCTTTACATTCCGAGTACCAAACTTGGCTAAATCTAAACCTTCCCAAATATTTTGATGCTAGTTACCTCGTTAGAAAGTGTTTATATGACAAGGTTGATGGCAACTTCCTACAACGGAAATTTAACACGTAAAAAGGTCGATGCCGAGCACAAAAAGAATGTATTAGGAATTTCTTCAGTTGTCCATTTTATTGTATATCGGCAAAAACATGCTTTTACGATAAGTACCAATGATCAAATGACAAATTTAAGCGAATTAATTGAAAATAATAGTTTGACATCAGTATTCCAAATTCTAAGTCACTTCTTTTTTTTTAAGTATTAACAGCAAACTTTGGGACTTAAGAATTTTTCCAAACGTGATATTTGATCTCGACCCTTTTATTTTCGCTTAGAAACTGATCCGTTTTTTATTTGTCTTATTTCTTTTTCTCATATCTCCCAACGGGATATCCCTTTGTTTGCCATGATGCCGAGATACTGATCCAGCCATTAGGGCCTCTTATTTAAATTCCATCCATCGGCAATGCGTTTCCTTATGGGTTCTTCATTTTAAAGCAACCCCCATTGCGTCGCTGTTCGATTGCCAATGTCTTTGACACTCCATCAATAATTTAACCGCATTTTCACCGTGCAGCGCACAACGTGCAACATGCACCTGCAACTGTGGGACCGAGCCACCTGCCACGAATGCTGGAAAACAAAAGGAGCGTTCAGAGGGAAGACACCTTCAATTACGACGGGCTGCGCCCCTCGCCCGCATCCACTTTCCCTGCCTTCCTTCCACTCCAATTGGCCTTAAAACGCATATATCAGAGTTGTGACACATGGTGCTCGATTATTGATTAGTGTAAGTGCCATTAAGGGCGGACTCTATTCCTGCTAGTCCTCCTCCTGCTGCTTCATCCAGGACTACGTGACCGACTAGCAGAGGGGATTCCGGGCAGACAGCTGTTCGCCTTATCCATACCGTTTCCCCTTTAGAGGCAAACACTTATCCCGAAAACAGGACGGCTTCGCTGGCTGGGATATCGCATTGTATCCTGGCCCGGGTCGCTTCCTTCTTCTGGCCTTGTGCAATACAGTCAGCATGGCACATTTGCGCCTAGTTTACGACAGCTGCCAAGCATCTTCCTCGCTCCCTCGTGGCAACATCTTGAGCTCGTTCCTCGGAGCTACCCTTACTTTTTTGCCTGAGCTGGCTGTTGCTTCCTGGCGGCTGATTGATCCTCGCTTCGATCTTGTTACAGCTGCCGATTCTTAGCTCCCAGGTATGCGGGCCGTTGTCCTGTCCTGGGATCTTTATTTACTCACCTTTCCTTTCTGCTGTCATCTTGTTGTTTTTCGCTTGTCCCAACGTTTGCTCTAATTGTTATTTTAATTTGCAAGCGTGGTATGGTTTTTTCATTCAATAGTGGATTAAACTTTCAAGGAAACATTTTTATAGGCAATGTTTTTTGGAAGTTCCTATAATAATTATTTTGGGCACTTTATAAACAAGATCAGACAGAGGGATACTTTAAAATTAGCTTAGTACCTGCTTGTACCTGTTCCATTTTTTACCTTTTTTAGCTTCACTATCCAAACACGATTCTTCGAGTTTTCTGTGTGTGATTTCCTATTTATATGGCCATGAAAGAATTTAGTAATTATAATTTATACTTGAGTTATTCTTTGATTATGATACTTCTGTGGACTAAAGTTTATTATTTTCTTGGGGCTTCTAAGTTTCACAAATGAAAATAGGGCTACGAACCGTCGACTTCATCTGTTAAGTCCTTTCCAATCACCCAGAAGGCACTTATCGAATCCTATCCTATATTCCCTTTGACCGCCCAATTATCCCATAGATAAGTAGACAGTTGTAGTTTCCCTTTTACTGGACGTGCTTTTCCGCACTTAAGGCCTTAATTCAATAAAGGATATACCAGACGTTTTGTTTATTCGTTGAAATCTGAGCATTTCCTTTTGATATTGCTTTTTACCAGCAACGACTTCGTTTCCTCAAGCATTTACAAAAAAATAACGCTTTATTCAATTTGAATAATTCTATCGTTTATTTGGCGGCTTGTTTGTTGTTTGCTTGAGTATTTTTCTTCGCTTGTGCGAATTCTTTCCTCAAAGGGGACAAGGACAACCCTTTTATACGACCATTAACCCACAGCATTGTTTGCCAGAAAGAGAGGGAGAATCGCGAAGGGGTAGGAGTGGACAAGCAGTCATTCGAGCGCAGACACGCTAATATAATATTTATAGTTGGTGTTTTGCTTCCGGCTGCCTCGGCTTAGCTGGGCTCCTTTTATTGAATTGAATTTGTCGCACAATGGAAATAAAATTGAAATGTGTCCAGGAAGCGATTTCCGAATGCAAAGCACGCTCAAGTTGTCGAAAAAAATGTTCTGTATAGCATAGGGGTTGCTTCGCTATCCTGATTTCGCTCCGACTTCAGGCCATTAGCTGCAGCAACAGGATAATCGCGATTGCGGCAGCTGGCGAGCAGGAGAACCACAAAAATCGGAGGGTTAGAAAACAATTCGAAAAGCTTGACAAGCATACACAACTTGACCATGAAAAAGGATTAACTCGATTTTCAATTACAAAACATGTCGAATATATACTTTGGCTTACAGTAGAACTTTGCAAACTTTTAATGTGTTTGGAATACTTTATGGCCATACGAAATATATTATTTTCACTTCTAGGCTTGACGAAATACAACACGATTCATAAATACCTTTGATTGTAACTCGATTTTATGTAGCAGATGGTAGTTTGAGTTTTTCCCGGTAATGGCCGGTCCTTCATTTCTTGACCTGAATCTAATGAGGCATGAAGGTGTTTTTGTCGGTTTTGGTAATTTGACACTGTAGTTTTTCAGAGCAACAGGCATGCGCTGCCACCTTTTTGTTGAGAGATCCCAATCAAACGGGATTTCCTATTGGGAAAACCATCCATCAGGTGGCAACGCCGTTCATAGGCTTTTCTTTTTTGTCTCTTTTTGGTCTACGTGACCAAACTTCATTGCATGTGGATGTGTGTGTGTTATGTTGCACCCCCAACCCCGATATTAAACA